TTGACTACCAATTCCGATACAGTGTTTAATCTTGAAAGCCAGTGCCTAAACATTTGCAATACGCAATAGGCAGTTATTTTTCTACAATTTCTCGGGAATTACTCTTCTTCAAATACGTTAGCTAATATAGCAAAAAATGTGCAAAAAAGTTACTAATTGTTGGTATTAGCTGGTCTCGACGCTATGAATATTCGCTGTTTGCCAAATTTGTCACGACTCACAGGACTGCATCCATCGGGAACAGCTATGCGCGAAAGTATTCTTCCTTGGTGACGCCTTAACTTTATAATATTAACAAAACAACGACAACAATCATGATCATATTAAAGATGAGAAGAAAAAGAAGAAAGCAAAACAATAACAATAATAATATCAATTAATAATAATAACAATAAAACCCAATAATTAGTAATTATCATAACATCAACAAGAAAATCCAGAACATTCCTGAGAAGGAAAAAACGTCTGACCAGAACCCCGTTAGGCAGGATGCAGGACCTGACTTAGCCCACCTTGGTCTGACCTCACCAGATTCCTTCAGGTGATTAACCTGTAGTTTATCGTCGAGCTAGGAATTGTTCTGCACATTTTCACTTTGTTTTCTTTTATTCTGCCATATCCAGTTACAGCAGTTAATGCAAAACGCTTCATCTTACCGGGGAATTCCTATGTAGCGCATCACGGTCATCGAAACCTGCCGATTCACCCTGACTCGCAGTACTCGCTCTCTCGTCCTCACTCGCCTGGGATTCGAAAACTAGACTTAACCCCCCCCCCCCCCGCGCGCGCCAGGAAGAGCGGAAGATAGCCAGGCAGTGAACATGTCCTCCGATTAATGGCCGCAGTTCCTTACTACGACGCTCTCGCGCACACGCACTGCTGTGGTTTCGACGGTAGCTCATCGACCTCTCGAGTCTAAATGACTCCTTGTCAACAGAGGGAGGGAGGGAGGGAGGGAGGGGGAAAGAGAGAGAGAGAGAGAGAGAGAGAGAGAAAGAGAGAGAGAGAGAGAGAGAGAGAGAGAGAGAGAGAGAGAGAGAGAGAGAGAGAGAGAGAGAGAGAGAGAGATTCTTATTGTCTTCGTAGTTTATATGATTTTTCTGATTGTTACTGTGTTGCATCTACGCCAGTTTCTGTCGGGCCGTTGGCCTGTCGTTGACTGAGTCTCTCTTTTCTTATGCATCATTTTTCATCACATCAAAACAGTGTTGCTTTCTCGTAGAACGAAGTTTAAACGAGCCGCTTTCATTTTTTTCATCAGCTTTCGCGGCTGGCTTTTTCTGCAATTCTAGATAAAATGTCAATAGTTCGCTACTAACCAAGAGTCATAAATTTTGCTTTAATTCACTGCCGCCCGTCGTACTACCCCGTCGAGAGTTCATAAACATTCTGTCTAGAACACGAAAAAATGAATTCCAGCCTGGCGTACTCCCCATTTGCGAACCATTCATCACGACAAGTTTGCCACAGAACACCTGCAAAGTAATGATTGAATTGAGATAACTTTATACACACCTTGAGAACTACAGCACCATTTTGGCACTGTCTTCAATCCGCGTTTAAACATATCTACCCTTCGGAAGTTCGCAAGAAAATATGATAAAACCGTGTCCGGGCCAGGACCACTGCCAGCCTCTTGCGATTGCCCCGGGTAGGCCATGTGCCTCCCAGGCAAGTGTCCAACAGGCTGTCAAGTGAAGGTATTTTAAGGGCAAGGCGACCATGCAAAAGCGAAAACAAGGGGAAACTAGACGTCAGAGGCCACCTAATGCGGTGAGTGACGTGTGGAATCAGAGACAAAGCGGAAACTACAGAGGGAAAAAACGCGCAAGGGAAGAAAGTTATGCTGACCTACTGAAAGATGATAAAAGCTACCGCCCGCGGATCGAGTGGATTAAGAATGGACAATCGTAGTTTAGTGAATAACATACTTTGTGATTTTCAAATAGTTCCGAAGATATGAAGCTTTACATGTTACGGGCGGACGATGGTTAAAGAAGGATTAAGAAAAGGGTGTTAGAGGAAAGCTTTGTAGTGTAGACTATAAAAAGAATAGGCTATTATGTAAGAGTCAGAAATTATGAAACAAAAAGAACCTTGACTTATAGTAGCTTGCAGCTGAAAGGTTATGCTGGCACCTGTATGCTGTACTGTGGCAATGACGTGTGTTATCAATAATGTGTGAATATAGACAAGTGCTATGAAGCGGCGTACGAGACTTATTAGAAAGTATAAATCGTACGAAAATAACAAGGGGAATGGATAACATACGAAACAGTATTCTGGTTATCAAATACTATATAGTAGATTTTGATATTCGATGTAAGGTTCGGATAATAGCCCCGTAGAAAAGAATACCTATGATTGGGCGAGTATTAAAATAGAGAGTAATACATACTTTATATGTGTAGTTGGCAGAATGAGTTATTGCTTCAGGGTGTCAGCCTGGTTGGCTACTCATGGCAAAGAGTAAGTACAGGCGCCCAAATGACGCAGATAAATTGACGGGAAGCCGGGTTGGAGCCTATTTTCATTAAATTAAATATATGATTATTATTGTTACTTTAATAACAAATATATCGATCATAATATCTTCGTAGTGATAAGCCTCTGGTGGGAAGAGCAACGTATGTTAACAACTGTTTTTAAAAGAC